TTTTATTTTCATGTTTTTTGGGGTTTTTTTTTTACAATTAAGATTTTCTTTTAGCGTGTGTGAACATTAAAGTTCTTATATTTGTCAGGATACAGTCCTTTCATTGCAGTTGTTTTCCAAGATGAAAAGAAATAAATGTTAATTCTTTGGGTGTAAGTGTTCCGTAGCTTGTGAATGTGTAAGGGAATTTCGTTTAAGTCAAGCGTCATGACCTGATATCTGATTTTTTTTCTTCGTTTTTTTTTTTTTTTTTTTTTTTTTTTAAACTTTGCTTAAATACCTTTCAAAGGGATACCGAAAAAATTATTGTTTGAAAAATGTTAAATATTTATTTTCAAAACATTTTTTAAACCGGAACAATGGCAATTCTCCGGCTTGGACACCATCTTTTTTCTTTTTCTTTTTTTTTGCGGGGATGGGGGGGTAACTGTCATGGTGTTTAGTTTCGTCTTCGCTCTTTAAAGCTTCCTGTCAATCATTAGGTCAAAACAATAAGGGGGCCAATACAAACTGGGGAGGTTGGGAATCTCGACTTGGATCATAACCAAAGAGGCAGCCGGGAACAGGCAAGGAACAACTCTTACTCACATTAACTAGGTACACAAAAGCTTGTCTAACCTAACCGTCTCCGCAGAATACCACCCCGATGTGACGTAGGTTGACCTAAAAGAGAAAATCAAGGCTAGCCCCGTTCAAATGAACCAAGCTCGCCTCAGTCACCCACCTTTCACAAGACTGTCGAATGCAAGCGTTTTCTATCACTTCTAATCTTCATCTTGAGCTGGTGCTCAAAGAATCGGATTAGATCCTGATGAGAAAGACGGCTGCCTCGCAAGACTTCCTCCGTTCGCGTCGTCCAAATCACCATTCGAGCCGTGCCCAGCATCATGAGAAACACCATTCGTTTGACCCCAGAATACGGGGGCGACACACTGATCAATGAGCACGAGCTTTTCGGGAGCGAGACGAGACGTCAACTCGGCGACATGATCCCATAAGGGGCGGACCCGGCGACGATGGTAGAAGGCGTGCGAAGCCTTTTCTTCCAAACCAAGGTCACACCGTTTACAGTTTGGCAAATTCGCCAAGCCCCATATGATAGCCTTGTCATTGAGAGGCAGCCGATTCCGAGCCAATCGCCAGGTAAGCGAAAACTCATGGTTACTGAGGTAATCCGCCGCTGGCGCCCAAGACCAGAAAGAACAAAACTCCTCTTCTGACAAGTCGAGCCACTAACGTAGAGGATCCTTCGCGACCCCCTCCACTAAATAACGATAGAAGACCTTCCTAGGCTGTGAAGGGTCACTGGACCGAAGAATGATCGTCAAAGCGTACCGATACTCGCGAAGGAAATCCGATTGATCTCGGGGTTTACGACGGCGATCAACCCACGAGATGGGGAGACTAACAGTCCCCGCCATAAACGAATCTCTTGTCAATGCGCGGCGTAGGAAAGCCAAACTCGAGGCGAGTTTGTGGCTCACCACGTGTGGCATTCCCAGCCCCTCATGACACGGACGTTGGGCCCAGACTTCTCTCTCGACCTGATGCTTGCGTTCCCTCCACAAAATGGAGGATAGCGAGCGCTCGAGCGGCTTCCTATGGTCCTTACAGAGAGGAAGTACGGACAATTGATAAAGGACAATCTGGAAAACGTATGTAGCACACGCCTCCGCCCTGCCCTTCACTGACAACCTCCGTCGACGCCAAGTCTGACCGGCAGCATCGACCTTTGCTCGTACTTCAGACCAATTTTTTTCCAGCTGAAGGTCGGGTCCAAACCACACTCCAAGAATACGGACAGGACCGTCCGTCCAACCAAAGCGGCCCGGAAGATCGACCCCCTTCCAGACATCAGCCGCAAGCCGGACGACTTGTCACGGTTAATCTTGGCCCTGTCACCTTTTCGTACCGATCAAGCGCCTTCAGTACCGCCTCAATGTTGCTGCGGGACTACACGAAAGCAGATACGTCATCGGCGTACGCAAAAACCCTGGCTCGACCTCCTCCAGGAACGGCGATTCCACGTAGGGCCGGAGTGCACGCCCAGTCCTTTAGCCGACGAAGGAGAGGCTCCAACGCCAAAGCATAAAGTGGGGGCGACAGTGGACAGCCTTGACGAACCGACCTAGACAGCGCAAAAGCGCCCGACAGCTTCCCGTTCACCTGTACCACAGTACTGGGGGAGCGATACAGGAGGCTAATCCAGCGGCAGAAGTCGGGTTCGAATCCGGCGTCCTGCAGGACAGCAGCAAGGTAGCGATGGTCAACCCTATCAAATGCCTTGGACTGATCTATATTGATCAGCGCGGCCTCATTGTCGTCTTTTACACCCTCTATGATCGTGCGGATCAGATGCAGGTTGCTCTGAATTGTTCGGCTCCTCGCAGCACAAGTCTGCTCAGGACCCAACAGAGACTCGGCAACTGACTGCAAACGTTCGTACAGAATCTTGAAGGCTTGGATCTTACTGGCGACTTGCGAAAAGTCTCCCAATTTAAGGAAAAGAGGTAGGCTCCCACGGAACAGCGGTTAAAAATTGACCAATCACTACACTCGTACTAAACAGAATAGGTAAGTATGCCCAGAACCAAAAGATTCAAAGGAACGACTGCGATGGCTAAATTGTCCTATACAAAGGTAGTGGTAATTTATTAGTCAATCGCAGGCGAATAAAATGGCTTGTAGTGTATGTAGGTGTGAAAAACATAGCAACCACTATAAGTGTACTAAGTGATTCCTGTTCGAATCGCACAACATCGATTAAAAGGAATTCTACTTGCTTAGTGGAGAGGACCAACTTGTCGTTCTTGAGTCTATTTTCTGTTTGTCTTTTACTTGTGGTGATCATTTGCTGCTGTTGTTTTCTCTTACATCTTCTGAATCCCTCTTTTAAGAGAGACTTGGCAATTTTTCTTTATCACGCTGGGTAGAATGGTCATTATACACACACACACACACACACACACAATGAGTTCATTCGTTATTAGTTTCTAAACTTGATAATTGATGGAAAACAGACTACTAATTTGTCTTGTACATTTTATGTACAGTTAATTCCGAAACCGTATCTAGTTGTAGGAGTCTGCACTTACATCGGTTAGAATTGAATTTACAATACACACAGTGCTTCTTCTTGTACCATAAATCAATAACATGAGAATAGGAAGTTATCCACCTGAAAAGATTGTCTGTATTGGTTTTTACATTTTACTCTCCGTACTCTCTACATAAATAGACTTTCTTCTTTCCTACAGTTAGAGAAGTTAAAAGCTAGATGATACATGATGAGTCTTCTGTAACAACGCCCACATAAACAATTTTTTTTTATTTTGATTTGACTATTTTTTTAATCAAATCTCTCAATGGAATTGTAATTAAAATACACAAATCAGATCGTTGAATAAAAATATATACAGTACAAAAAAAAAGTAAATACTTTCGAACTTCCATAAACAAACTCGCATGGGTTTGTAAAAGAAAAGCTATATCGAGTATTTTTTTATTTAAAAAGAGTTAAATGGTATTTTTAAATTAGGACAGGCCTTTTCCAAGAAGTTTTTATGTAATATTTCTCCATGTTTCCTGCAAAAAATTAAATGCAATATCAATCGTTATCTATTATTATCCTCCTGATTATTACATTTCTTCTTCTGGCTCATTATTGTTATGTTTCTTTTGTGCCTTAGTGGCTCCTTGCATGGGGTGATACTGATTAAAAAGAAAAATACATCCAACGGGGTGGAAGCAGTAAGTATAACTGAATTTAAATTTCGGAGGTAATTCGTTCTGACACAATAGTGCTAAATTGTTGTTTTTTTTTAAGTAAAACTCCAACTATGCCCTTGTTTTATGTTCCTTTGTTTCTCATGCGTTTATTTCCGAATATCAAATAATTGCGAAAAATACATGCTAAAAAAATAACATTCTTAGAAAAAAAAAAGTTTCTTTTTCAGTTGATCCATTTCTTTTTTGACTTTTCTTTTCGTCAGTAACAACAAAAAAACGGCATTAAAAAAATTATACAAATACTCACGACACCAAAATGAAGAGCTTTCCTTTATTTGTTATGTAATAATTTGGCAATTTGCGCATTATCAATGTTTTTCTCATTAACATTATTTCATTAATTTAAAAAAAAAAAATCTGCTTATTTTCCTTTTTCATACATAAATCCTGTAAACCTTAAAAGAACGTACGATTCGAAGTGCACATGTTTGTAAATAGCTTGTGTCTTTTAAAATTTAGCGTTTCCTACAATGAGATTTTGTTTTGTGAGCACCTCGTTTGACCTTCCTTCTTCCGTCTGCTTTTTCTCCCACTTGAGTTGAGCATGCAAAATTAAAATCCATAAGTTGGATGATAGAAAGAAGAGATAACTGTTTGTTTTCATGGACAAAGAAACGAAAATGAAGGGCATGATATCAACTAGAATGAGTAGGTCAATTAGTAATTGAGTGGAATCAATGTAGCGAGAGATAAAAACATAAAAAGAAATTCGTATGCGTGCGAGGCGCTCAATACACACATGTTAATAATAACAAAGAGACTTACTAAAGGTTTTCTTTTTGAAGTCCTCACCAGAGGAGGGGGAAAAGAAGGAAAAACGTACACTACATGGACAGCAGATGAGTAAATCTTTTTAATTTTTAATAATAGTGACAGATGTGACGATAAAAAAAAAAAGCTAAGAAAAAAAAGAACAGTCTTCAAAATCAAGAGAAAAAGGTTACCGATTTTTTCTTTCCTTTTTATCCTTTTCTTTCAATCCCAGAAAGTTTTTTTTTAACGTCCGAGTTACTTTTTTTTGTTTGTTTTTTTGTAAAAAATGTTATGCTTTCAAAATGAACATTTAACTTAAACAGTAAACACTTTTTTTCTTAATTATAAAAATAAAAAAAATGCCAATACACTACCGTTTAGGTCGGACTGAAAAGAAAATTTATTTTTAAAATTAAAATTAATTCATTTATTTCAGAAAATAACTGCAAAAAAAAATTATGCCGCATTCAGTTAACGGCACGACTAACGATCCGAACAAAGATGATAAAAAACAAATACGTGAAAAAAAGGAAAGACACACTTTAATAAATGCAGATGGAGAAAGGCTATTTTGCAAATATTGGGTAAATGAAATTGCCAACTTTACACCAAAGTAAGTAAATGCCGATTTGTTTTATTTTAAAAGGTAAATTTTAAAAGTATTTTTCGAAGGTGATTGACCGTGTCTACCTTTTTTTTTCATTAATGGGCCTGCTTGTTTGTTTTATGAAGTAGTCATAGCGTAAAAGTACTGCCTGTTTTTTATGAATAAAAAAAGGCAAGTAACATGATTTTTCTTTCAATATTGCAAGGAGAATCGATGCTTAAATTTAAAAAAAAAATAGTTTTACTTATATATTGGTTAACAAATTCGTTTTGTTTTCACTTTCTCGTTTAACTTTGAAATATTTAAATCCCCTAAATTATAAAAAAAAAGTCTCAACTTAAAAAAAAAAAACGTGATGAAAACAACAAAAAAAAAATTGAAGATATCAGGATTTGTTTCTTACATTGAATTACAAAAAAAAAAAGTTACATTTATTTGAACAAATCTTTGTTTTCTCGGAAAACAATCGATCGAAATATCGATTAACTTTCTTTAAAGTAAACAATCTGCTGGAAAGAACAAAAATCAAAATGACAGACAAGAAAAAGCTTTTAAAATGAATGAAAACAAAATTACTAAAATATTTCCTTCGTTAAATTTTAACATAAAAAAAAGCATTATGAAACGTAAGAGAAAATATATCAACCAAAATTTTGAACGAATAAATTGTCTTGGTAAAATTATCGATATTTCAAAAAAAAAAATATTTCCTCTCAGGTGATCATTATTTTTTTTTTTTTCTTTCGTATATTCAGTTTTTTTTATTTTTTAAAAAGCTTTTTGATCAGAAATCGAAAGATTTGAAACTGGTACATCCGAGTTAGTTGAGGGTGTGGTTCCACCAGTTACTTCCATTGTACCCCATTGAAGTGGACGGTCAGTCTACTTCCAAAATTAACTTCTTTATTATTTTATTTAACTGGTGTTGCTATTGGAAACTAACGAACCAGTATAAAAACATAGCGCGCTCTAAATTTTGCTTTTCAATTTCTTTTTAGTTTAACTTTATTCATGTGGGCCTATGGAGAAAAGTGTAGAAAGTCTAGCTTTAGATGCCTGTCACTCCTAGGCATTTTACTTCTCCTTCAGGAGGAGGGGAACTGGAGTTATTATCCAGACCATAGGGCGTCTCCCCAACTCCCCAAAAGATGTACCGAGGGACACTAACAATTTCTACACGGCTACCAAATCTTATGCATGTGGTGTAATGGTGGGAGGTTCCGAACGAGAACTTTACAGGTGGGCTGTCTAGCCATGGTTGGCAGAATTCAAAACGGAATGTATCCCTGGTGGGGGGGACATTGTAACTGAGGCCCGCTCGGCATAGTTGTCGTTGAGTTGGCTCAAGAAACACATAAGACTTTGTTGACTATGAAATTCTCAGGTTCATATGCTGAAGATGAATTATCACACTGATTTGCACGTGGCTTCGTCGAAACACCTGTAATGATGATGATGATGATAGTAAATGTTCTTTTTATTTTTTATTAAAAAGATGTAAAATCAAAGTTTCTGTCCGTCTCCCTATTGTTGGCAGCTTAATGCAATCGAATTCTTTCTAAGACGTTCTTGTTTTTTTTTTCTTCTCGAACCTTCTCATACGTTTAAAAGATAAAAATAAAATCAACTTCAAATATCCCTTTTTCAGGTAAACTTAAACAGTTTTCCATTAATTTCGTCATGTTCTGTTCAGTTATTGACTTGAAATTATTGGTTGAATTTTTTTTTGTGTTTGTTTTTTTTTTTTTACTTTTGCAAGGCATTGATTATTCGTAAATAAATACTTTCTTGAGCCAGTGTTAAATTTTAAGTTTTCTACTATTGTCTTCTTAAAATTTCATTTTCAAATTTCATTAGAATAGTTTTAAAAGTATTTCATATTACGACGTTCGGAGATTATCCTTACCTTAAAAAAGGAATCCAAAGGTAATTAATTTAACTACTTTCAACTTCTCTCGACATAAATCTTAAAGAATTTCGGAACCAACTTGTGGTAAAAAACAAAACTCATCACACTATTCCAATTTCACAATTGTTGATTAAAATTATTTTTTGTATTGATAAAGGCATACTGAATCTAAAAAAGAAACGGAAATCTATTTATTTATTTATCGCTTGCTTTAAAATCCTCCACTGTCAGCTGAACTGAACGATTATCGATCGACCTTGTTCTTAATTGTTGACGTAAAACTTATTTTAATGACAGATTATTAATTTGATAAAGGAAAAACAACTCCGAAAAGCTTTCAGCTAGATTAGAAGAAACAACTTTCAAGTGTTCAACTTCAAATAATAATGGAATGGTGATTGATGCAAATATGTCAACAAAATGTTGCTTTAAAAAAGGAAATCCGTCCAGGATAAATGTAGCATAAACAATATGCTTCGAGCTACAGGATTTATTATGTGAAAACTAGAAAATACTGAAGTTCAATAGGGAATTGTATAACTTTGTACAAAGAGGGATATGTCATTGTCAGAATTAAAATTATTAAATTAATTAATTGACGAACACTGAAAATGTGTCATGGGTGTACTACACTGTAGAAATGAAAATCTTTTTTATTTATTTTTTTTTAAATTATCAATTTCAAATAATTTAATCATAAGTTAAAAAAGATAAATGATTTAATTTCCTAATTTTACGATTTAAGATAAAAATCGTAAAAAGTAACCAATGCTTCCAATTAAAATACGCTGACAAGTGAAATTTATTTTACTTTGTGTTACTTTTTAAACTGGCTGTTTGATCACAATATATATTAAAAAAAAACTAGTGTCAGTTTATTTTTTTAATAAAGTAAGTAAACTAGTTAAAAAGTAAGAAAAAAACAAAACTGGCGCCATGTAATTGTGGGTACCTCCAAAAATTCGTTAATCGCTAGAAAAGCCCTAAAACATAAAAACGAAATTTTATTAAAATCTTACATCAAAAGATTTTTTTTTTAATACGTATATAAATTAAAATAATCCACCGTGCCTCCTTTTACATTTAACCCTCACTTAGTTTAAATCTTCTTATGAAATTTCAAGAAATTCTTTTGTTGTGCTTCTTAATGTTTAAGGACGAATTCTCCGAGTATTAAATCATTGAAATCTTTTTTGTCAAACAGGACCCTTCAAAATCTGCTTTGAATGGCAAAATAAAAAATGTAATCAAACTGACACATTATTTAATTAGAAAAGCTTTTTTAACTGCTTTTATGAATAAAAAAAAATACATGACAGACAAAGTATATTTTTGAAAGTCTTTTTAAAGAAAATTATGTTAGTTAGATCAGATTTTCTGTAACTGGGGATCCTGTTTGACCCCAAAATTTTATTTGAATTCTCTTAGGAAAATAAGTGCTTCACAAAAAATGAAATTGAGTTAAAAAAAATAATAATAATTTCAAGATTTTCCTTAAAAAACAAAAAAAAAAAAAAACGATTTAATTTGTTAATAAGTCCTGAAAAAGTTTCATTAAAATCCGACAATTATCACAAAAAGTCACTCAAATTTTCTATACTTTCCCTGTCCCACACAGTTGATCTCAGCGAAGCAAGATTTTTTTACACATAATTTCAAAGGTTCTAAAGAGGATTCTGAAAATATGACATAATAATAATAAATCCTTTGAGTTTTTTCTGTTAATAAGAACATAAGAATTTTGGCAATAATAAAACTGTTTGAGTTTTGAATGTTTTTGTTGTCATCGTGCTCGTAAATCTTTGCAGGTACTACTGTCTGTAGCCTTATGAAAGAAATTTTCAGTTAATCAATTTTTACAAGAATTGTTGTTTTAAATTTTAATTAGAATAATTTATAGACTTCTATCATTTAAGTTTCTGTATTAATTTCTACAAATCAAGTGATATTGTTATTAAATTAAAGCTATATTTACTAATTATAAATGGAAAAGCTCATTTCAAGTCAACAACCCCCAGTATTTTTAAAAAGAATTAAAGATTTTTAAATGTGTCTATTTTTTTTTTTTTTTTTTTTTTAATACACACGTCCATACCTTATCAGACGGGTACCTATATTTTTATTTTTTTAAATCATTTTCATCCTAAGTAAGGTGAAAATGCCACTAAGATGCCAGAGGTTACTGGGAGTGAAAGAGAATGAGAAAACTTTAGTGAGGAGAAAGGACAATAAAAAAACAGGAATTAGGACGACAGATGGCAATTGATATTGCAATTTATACTTTTGGTCATATGGAAGCAAAAAACCAGATTTCTACAGGCAAGAAATATGAGAAAAACTAACAGTTAAAAATTTACTGATAATTTTCAAACATTTTATCAACAAGCATTTTCGAAAACCAAAATACCTAAACGTCAATAAAACTGCTTAAAATATTTTCTTGAATTTCTAGGATGACTGAGCAGTTATATATATATATATATATATATATATATATATATATATATATATTAAGAGGTACACATTGTATTCCTCCACATAAAAAAAATGTTTTCCTACAATATTTTTTATCTAAAAGTAATTGTTCCTGTTCAGATTAATGAAACTTTAAATTAACTTATTTTCTTCAACATTTCAGAAAAATATATATATTTTTTTTTTTCAATTTTCTTTTTTTTTTTATAAAAAGAATTATTTTGTGTTGACAGATTTATCAATATGAAAATTTATAGATTTTACTGATAAGTACAAAAAGATTCTAATTAATTTAAATTCATTTTTAAATACACCAAACTTTTTTGCTCATTGGAAATATTAAATTTAATTAGAATTAAAATTAAAGCTTTAAGAAAGGTTTTTCATTTCCTAAAATGCATTTTAAGCTTAGGTATCACCTTTTCATTTTATTTAATTATTTTTAAGGTACCTATGTAATTGGGAGATTTTTTTTTCTTAATCAAACCATAGCATTTAGTATTTAAAATGTGCTAGAAGTTGCCTAGTGTGTTAAATATTTATCAATATTGATTGACATTCAGTGAGGCAGTGGAGAATAGAAGAAAAAAGATTAGTAACAGAAGGAAAGAGACCTACATAC